ATGAAAAGTAAACAATTTAAAAATAGTGGTCTAATAAAAGGTGTCATGTATTGAGCGACTGTTTCATTGTGAACAAAAAGCTCTGACGCAAATGGAGAAGAAAGTGAACCATTCGGACATTGCTCCTTTATAACGTTATGACAAAAATTCCCAACTTTGATTCTTCCTAGATCTGAATATCGAAATAGTAAGCAGTGGCTGGAATAGTGAGCAAGATTGCCTATCTTACTTTTGATTTTTCATTAAAGTGCTGGCTAACTAAAGGACCAGATCGCGATCTAGTCTTATCGTGGCAGTCGCATAGGCAGTAGCATTCCTGACATTCAAAAGAACAAACAAAGCATATTTTTCGGTAGAACACATTGTCTTTTTTCCAAAACCTCGACCTTGACAATCTTGTTGAAAAACTTTTGCCCTTTTTGATTGTTTTCACGAAGCTTTTTGTTCCTTTTAAAAAAATTTCTAAGGCATCTGAGGCGATAAATGTCGAGGGAAACGCCCCATAATTTTCAAATATGCAGTGCAGTGCATTCCACCTGCAGATAAACTTTGTGGATGAATAATTTTTTAAAATGAGGTTGATTGTAGTGATAAATATTTATATGGTCAAGCGGCATATCTACAAAAGGTTTTGAGAAGTTTTATTAGCGGATGAGCAAATGGATAGAGTTAATAGAAATTTGTGTTCGTCGCTTGTTGAAGTAATTTTTTCATAGAACCAAACGGAAAAACATCATTGGAAATGTAGGAATGCAGTAAAACTACCAACATATCTTAAATTTTATAGCCACCAATCCTCATAGAATTAATTTTTTAAAATGTCTTTTGCTAATCAGATTCAAATTTTTTCCCAATAAAAGCGTTTGTACCTATTCTTTTTCGCTTCCCTTCATCCGCATTATTCTCTTGTTTTGGCATATTGAATAGCGCATGGGTTAATAGTAATTAAGTATTAAACAAGCCTTTTTCAATGACACCTTATTGCTAACTGCATCGTTATCGTGAGGACTGGCTCTGAGAAGTATTCATTCCAGATGCCACCTCATCATAGCCAGCAACAGCAGCAAGGACAACAAGCACCTGTTAGTGGACAGTCCACCGTGCTAGAAGCGCTTATCAACCAGCCACAGTATCCTTCAGCTCCACCCCAGGTTTAATTGTTTGCTGTCATTGATTCGTCATATCCCATGACTGCTTTTAAGAAAATCACTGTTTTTTTCTGCAATGGTAGCATCAAATTTCTCTTGTCATAGACTTATTGTTGCCTTGAGATATGGGACGTTATTGATGAGAAAAAACGAAGAAAAGCTTATCATTTTTATCAAAACACTCAAAACAACGCGGTTTCGTTGTTTTGAGCGCTTTGTAAATGATTAATTGGGAAGGAATATTTATTTGTATGGGAAAAAAGCTGTATATAATTTACTCCATATCTTCTTTTGAAGGAATTAAAGCAAGACATCTATGAAAATTCTCAAATTCGATACTTTTTACGTAGGTTTTGGACAATACATCATGTTTTTACGCATTGTCTGCGAAGGCATATCAACC